CCCCAGCCCCGCCCCGGCCTCGGGAGGAAGCGGGGCAGGTCGGGGCCGCAGGGCGCAGTTCACTGGGGGATCTGCCGCCGCAGCGGGGTCTCGGGCAGCAGCGGGGTCGCCAGGCAGGAACCGCACGATGCCCAGGACTGGGTCAGGTCGGGCACGTCCGGCTCGGGGAGTTCCAGTCCGCGGCGCCGGGGCCGCAGGGCCGCAGCGGGCACACGGGCCACCCGGGCACCGTCAGGACGCCTGCGCAGCGGCCGGAGCCAAGGCCCGGGACGCCCTGCGACCCCGCGGGGCGGGAACGGCGACGGGCTGGCGCGGAGCCTGCGGGAGAGGCCCAGCGAAGGGCGAGCCCGGAGTGCTGCTGCTCTCGGTCTTGGGCCCGGGAGGCCCATGAGCCCCGCCGCCGAGCTAGCCGCACTCCAGGACGGCGGGGACAGCGGCTCAGCTGTGCGCGCGAGGCCGCCGGTCCGACCCGACCGCCCTGGGAGCAATCCCGCAGCTCCGTGGTCCTACTGGCCACGCGGCTTCCGCCCGTTCGCCCTTCCTCTTCGCCTCTGCACTCTCTGCCGCCCTGACAAGATAGACCCGCAGTACGCACGGCCCCGCCGCCCGCGGTCTGGTCTCTGTGCGCTGTCCAGCTTCCCTTTCGGAGACACCCCCCCAGCGTACCTCTGCGCCTGCGCGCCACACCGCCCCCCACCCCTGTGGCCCTCCTCAGCGAGAAGCACAAAACTCAACCTCGACCAATGAAGTTTCTACCTTCTCTTCGGGCAGCCAATCAGAGACCGCTATGGCGGGTTGGAGGCGAGCGCACGGCTTTGGGCCCCGAGTCTGAGCTTGGCGGAGTTGCAGGGGGCGGGGCTGAGGGGGAATCGCTGCGCTCCTCCCGGATCCTGCCTTTGGGAGGCGCTCAATGTCCACTGCGGCCAGGAGGTTGTATCTTCTCCCCCGGTACTGGAGACTGATTGAGTCCAGCGCCTGCTAGGAAAGTACTCTACAACTGAGCTACATCCCTATCCTTTTTTAGTTTTGTTTTTTTGGTACTGGGAATCGAA